GCCTCTGACTGGCTAGAAGGGCTCCCCTATGATTGGTTATTTCATTTAGCAAAAAAAAAAAGTCTTCCTTCGCTAAGTGCAGACTGTCCTCTTGCAACCAACAAAACAGCTATTTTGTGGAATTTTGTAAACAAAATGCTAATTTTGCACCATAACAACAAGTCTGTCCTGTTTTCCAACATAGTTTTATGCCATTTCTTTTATTTTTTTTAAACTAAAAAACAACAAAAGTAAACTTATAATAAATGTTTTTGCACTTCTCATAGTGTTGGATTCACTTACATCTGTTGACTCTCAAGCATTGAGGTTATCTTATTAAAGCAGAGAACATTGGATAAATGTGTGCCTTACCTGGGTTAGAAATATAATAAAACTGCCCCATTTTGCCCAGCTGTGTGCAGCAGGTCTGGTTCTCTTCTAGAATAAGCTGCTGAAAAATAGGTCTACATCAGCTTTGGATTAAATGTTGATTGAATGATACGCATTTAAACAGATGATGAGAGATGTGTCCTAACAGCCGTAACCTATGAAAGTGAAGACATAAAGTAGCCTATAGTAATAAGATAACCCCAGTGCTTGAGAACCAATGGATATGAAGTCAGTCTAACAGTGTGATGAATGCAACAAGACTAATGGGCTCGACACACGGGAGGCGACATCGCCTCTCCTCCATTCATTTTCAATGAGACATGCGCGACAAAGCGATAATCGCGGGTCTCTCTCCTACTAAAGCCGGGCGTACACTGTGTGACTTTTTCACTCGTAGCACTCAGCTTCAGCTCAAACTGTACGACTTCCTTGCAGGGCAGATCTCACGAGCCTGGCGCTCACACTGCACGACCCAGTTCTCGGATGCGACCTGACTGCTCACACTGTACGTCTGGTAGCAACACGTCGGCCCTAAAATATGCTAAAAATAGCAGTTTTTACACAACACGTTAGACTTTTTGGTCTTGTTTTACCTGTTGTCCTTCGGGAGTGCTGCAGGAGGACACACAGGGACTTATGGGGGTTGGATGAGGAAAACGAAATAAAGAAAGTAAATCTGTGTTTTGTGATCAGTTTAATTTGACATGAACACGACAAACACGCTTTCTTGACAATCTTTGTGAGTAAAAAACATGTAGAAACAAAAACGAACAACGTGTGTTATTAGGGAAATAGCGGGCGAGCGGTGTTGATGCATGATTGCGCATGCGCCGTGAGCGGTTCTGATACGGTTTGGGTCGCAGCTGCTCGCAGCGCCGCTTCAACAGTGCGATACCCTCACATGGGACGAGCAAAATTTCAAACACGCCAGAAGTTTGTGCAAGCTCACGATTGCTGATCGGTAGCTGGTCACGTGGTGTTAATCGCCTCTCGTAACCCCCTGTACACTACACGACGCTCGGCGCAAAACTCGCCCCGATCTCGTGGATTCTCGCACGAGTGGAAAATCGGCTCAAAAAAGTGAAAAAGTCGCACAGTGTACGCCCGGCTTAAGCTAAACACGAAAAACGTGCGTGTGAAATTTTGCGCTCGTGCACGTGTCGTGCACAGGCGACCCAGCGACGCGATCCCAGAAAGTTGAAACATTTTCAACTTTTCATCGCTGTCGCTCGGACGAGGACCAATCAACGGAGGTTTCATTCACTGACCAATTCACTGACCAATGAGCGGACAGAATGCTCCGTACACCTCCGAGCAAACGTGTGTCGAGCCCATTTTCACAAGTAAATATTAGACTTTTTCAGGTTCTTTTATAAAAGAACCTGGAATGTTGCAAAAGAGGACAGAATGGCTATTATAGCGATAAGTTTACATTTTCTAAAAAGAAAAAAAGAAAAAAAAAACTCCTCAAGATCTGGCTGCAGGTTTAAAATCCCAGCAGTGAGGGGAGACGGTTTACTGTTCCATGAAATAGCCAATCGCAGGAGCCCCTCCAGCCAATCAGAGACGAGAAAGGCGGGAACTTCCTTAGACATCCGACAACTCCAAATGATGTGTCCAGGCGGCATCCTGACCAAATGTATAAAACACAGACATATATACGTAGGGCCCAGTGGACTGGTGCTGCCTATTGGAGCTGCTGTAAGTGGCCGTTCGCCATCTTATATGGGTCTCTATTCAGCCGCAGTGCATTTATTTCTACTGAGGAAGGTGTTTACTCAACTAAAAAACACATTTTAAAAAGCTTCTTCACTAAATCAGACATATAGTATGGCATGATAATTTAAATACAAATATAATTAAACAAAACAAATAAAAATACAAAATTTTATAAGGTAGGCTAGAAAAGTCAATAGTAATCCTACACGATCTGTTTTCAATAGCGCGCCGGTTGTTTTAACTGTAGGCTGTGCAAAAACGGGCATAGTTTCTCACTGTGTTGACTTTAGAAAGTGAGGAGACCCATCCAATATGGCAGCGACACTGTTACGTTCTCCAGCACCCAACAGGGCGTCTATGTATTCATGTCTATGGTGTAAACCACCTCAGATCCTCTTGTTGGGGAGGAGCA